CTTACAATTTATACAATATGAAGGTTCAAAGAATTTCTGCATATTTCTGGGTTAAGGGATTTCTGTAAAATTTTATTCAGTGGCTTATAATTTGTTCAGGTAGATTGTAAGCGTTAGGAACAGAACCAAAGGAAATGACAAAATGTTCTCTACAGAAGTACATCAGGAAAGATTATAACTAATAAGTTGGGTTTTGTTTTCTAGATCATGTTTCTCATTGGTTTATAGTAGATATGAAAAATTGGTTACTTTGTGTAGGACTGTAGCACTGGGGGTGAAGTCAGACTCTGTAGAAGCAACTCTAGTCTCTGGCAGCACTTGCCCTTGCCAAGCCTTTAGGGATCCTAATGCTCTGGCAGTAAGAAATACCTTTTCAGTTATGACAAGTTGGGAATTGCTATTTAATTCTAGCTTAACCTAAACCTAATGCTTCAGTACTGGTGAAATACAACCACCATTTTTGTATAGATAATAAAAGTGTATGCCCATTATGGGAATGATTTCATTTTGAACTCTATTTTGTTTCACTTATTCAGTGTTCAAGAAAATTCAGAAATTAGGCAAGGTTCCAGGGAACATACTAAAAAAATAGAGCAGTTAGCACATGGCTATTTTCACATGAATTAAAAAAAAAAATAAAAAAAAACAGTTTATCTGGAATTTGATACATAGTAATGTATCATAGTAATACAGTTATATAATTGATGGTTGGCTATGTTAACAATAGTTTGTCTTGAATGGTTGTGTAAAAATCTACATTCATTAATAAATCCTTCATTAATCAGTCTATCCATTTGCAGTCAGGTCAGCAATGTTATGATTTAATTTTTTTTACAAGGTACTATTCAGAGTAGTTCTAGGCTGACCTGGGAATAATTTAATTCATCTATTAAGGTTACAAATGCTCATATTTCTGGTCATGTATATCACAAAGCTGGACCTTTCTTATGAAAGTATATAATGACAATAAAAGGAGCTTTTTGCATCTTGATGTTAGAATATGAAAATAAATACAAGAACATTTGAGCTAATTACATAAAGCAATGCTATCTAAAGTGCACTATCATGAAAATATTATTTTAAAAGGAGGTGAGGGTTGTATGCCTTTAATCCCAACATTGGGGAGGCAGAGGTAGATGGATGTCTATGAGTCTGAGGCCACATGTAATCTACAAAATGAGTTCCAGGAGAGCCAGAGCTACACTGAGAAGTCCTGTCTCAAAAAACAAAAAAGAGAAAACAACAAAAAAGGAAAGTTGTGTATAGAAATCAAATACTTTTTGACTATTTAAATAAATTTTCAACCTAAACAAAATTCTTCTTTTACAGTGTGAAAGCCTACAGAAAAAATGTTTTGGCAAAATGTGTATGTATCTAGCTATGTTTTTTTCTACTTTATTTATTGAGTTTAAAATCAGTGGGGTTATAAATTTATTTCTCTTTTAATTTTTATGTGCCATGTATTTCATTGCCAAGTTTCATTTTAAATGATAAATTTCTGCTTAACCATATTAGCATCATTTTAACTACATTTTAAACATGCTTCTCGCTTTCTCTTTTCTCATGCAATACCATATTAAAGAATTTTATGTTACTACCATCATTTTATACATAATGATTTGTAGTGATTCTTTCTTACAGTTGGAAGAGAGTGTGAATTAAAATCAACCTTGAACACTGATACTTGAATTGCTTTTATTTTTAGTAAAAAATCTCAATTATTGTGAAAACAAATGCTGCTTCTCATTGACTGGTAAAGTTTCTGGCCCAGATCTGTCTCTGAGAGCCTCTGTATTAGGGTGTAGCTATGTAATACGCCTATTCTAAATAAACAAAAACAATGGTTTGTGAGGAGGGCTCAACTGCGGTAGCAATGGTGTGGTTATGATGTTTCTTGGTGTAATTATATAATCATTTCCTTTGAACCAATGTGGATTTCTTATTTTTCAGTATGGTGGTGATATTACCCGGAAAATGAAACTTTTAAAGAGACAAACAGAAGGGAAAAAAAAGCTGAGGAAGATTGGCAACATTGAAATTCCAAAAGATGCTTTTATAAAAGTTCTAAAAACCCAGCCTAATAAATGATTCATGGAAAGCAGGGGTTTTTATCTTTTTCTTCTAATTTATATTGACAACGGAATGAAAACTATTAAATGCTTGTTACTTTTAGGGTCTTCAATTCTGACCTGGTAGAAAAGAGACAGACTGTGTTGCCTAAACTCTTAAGATACACTACTCACTAGTACTCTTTATCCTCAATAAAAAATTGAGATTATGTTACTAGTACCTCCATAGGTAGCTGGGAAAATTAAGAGGTTAATATATTTTACATATTCAAATGGGTATGTTAAACATTTAATCATGGTGAATTTAACCTTTTTCATGCCTTTTTTCTTTTACTTATTTTTTGTTGTTATCCCCTTTTTTTTAAGTTTATAATTTTTTGGTGTTTTGAGGCATTATCTTGCCATTTATCCCTGGCTAGCGCAGGATTTATTATATAGGCCAGGTTGATCTCCAACTTGTGACAGTCGTCCTGCCTTCCCATTGTTGGGATTGCAGGCATGTGCTACTTGTTCAGTGTTTATTTATTTATTTTACATATCAATCCCAGTCCCTTCTCCATGCTACTTGTTCAGGTTATGCATAGTTTTTCTTACAGATACTAAAAAGGTTTCTAATTCTATCTAGTTCAGTTAAAAGCTTTCCAAAATCACCTTGTATCACAATTTTTAGCTCAAACACTATCTACTATATATGAAAATCAGTTATTAAGAAATAAAGAACACATTAGCAGACTTGTTCTAGCTTTTCATTCTTATTTAATCAAGCATTTCTAAAACTAAATGGTTTGTTATACATCTAAGTTAAGCTTAGGGTAGAGCCCTATCTTGTTTCTGATATTCAATATACATTCATGCCAAACAACGGACATTTGGTATTAGCACCAGCTGTTAGTAAATAATTACTTAAATATTATCCCTAAAGTGGCACAACTAGTAAATGGCTTAGTTTCATGTTCAGTCACAACAAACCAATATTACAATATTACTACAAGAATCTTCATGTTGGATTTTATATTTTACCTTTTATATTGAGCATTGCACATGTCTTATAGTAAAAAGGTTACTGATAAATCTTAGCATTTTGATAGAATTTTAAAGTGAGGATTTAGTAGTTAGGTAGTCTTAGCTTATTACATAAATAGTACTTCTCCCAGCTAGATTTGGTGGGAATAAAATACCAAATTCCTACAACAGTATTTTTATACCTGGCAGTATATTTGAAACTAAGATAAATAATACATTTGTTAAAACATTAGGATCCAACATTATTACTAAAGGAAAATCAAAAGTATCCTAATACACAAATCTACAGTTTACCAGAACATTTTTGATTTGGGCTGTTTATTCCCCTTTAACTCATAACTTTTTAGCACTTAGCCTTGCTTGTAATATGTAGAAAGTGTTTTCTAGATTTTATTTTTTTAGCATAAGGTTAACTGCTCTCCCAAGACCATTTCGCAGTGTTAATTTTGAGTTATATACCTTGAATATTTTTCCCTGGGTGCCAGTATCACAAAAAATGTGATAGTTGTATGACTAAAAATTGTAACATTAAGTTTGGTATGGGTTGGCCACTGTGCTGAGTTCTGTATACTTTTGCAGTCAGTGCAACTGTATTGCCATTATTTTCCCAGGTGACAGAATTCAAGTAATGATTGCTTACTTCAAAGATTATTGCTTTATATGAAATGACAATAGTATCGAATGTTGAGTTAGGAAGGTACAGGGGCTTGAGGCCATGGCTGTACTAGACAACACCAGACCTATAATGTTTTAAGATTCTTTTCAGGTCTTTGTAAAGAAATGATCAAAAGAGACCATCATCTTTTCACAATGATGCTATACAGCCAGAGGAAGGTATGGTAGTCTTGAGTAAACATGTTATTACCAGAATCATTAGTACAGATGCTACTAATTGACCAATTAACTAAAATAGGTTTAGGACATAAGGGATCCTGTTTGAGCATGTTTATACCAGGTATTTTGTTTAGCAGGAGTGAGAAGGTAACAGTGTACTGTGACTAAGATGTGTATTATGGAAGGAATGGGGCAGGAGGTGACATGGAGAGAAACAGCACTATTAAGGCTAACTTCTTGGTGCAGCGCCTGTTTGTCTCAACGGTGCTGTAAGCAGAGGCAGGAGAGCCTAAGGACTTTAGAACTCCACTTGATTTTAGTGTAGTCTGCAATATTTCTATGTTGGCGTTCTTCAGAAAACTACTTAGAACAGGAATTTGAAGGTCAGATAACATAATGCTGAGAATCTGAAGAGGTTCCAGAATATTTAAATGCTTTGGGATCATGTGAAACCCCCTTTGTATGGGTCAGTATCTTTCAGATACTTTTTTTTTTTTTTTTTTTTTTTTTGGGTAAATTGACTTTTGTATGTAAGAAACACAGCTCTTAATACATCATGGGGAACTAAAACACCATTATTTTTGTGTGTATATTAATGTTTTGACTTAATGTATGTTTGCACCATTTGTGTGTCTGGTGCTCTTGGTGGCTACAAGAGGGCATTGGAGATTCCTTAGAACTTGAGCTACAATTGGTTTGTATGCCTCCATTTGGGTGTTGGGAACTGAATTCTAGTCCTGTGCAAGAGCAGAAAGTGCTCTCAATTGCTGAGCCATCTCTTCAGCCCCAATTTTCCTAACTTCATAATGGCAAATTAGAAGCAAATGCATGTCATGGGTACCCAGTGAATGTTATTTCACTTCTAGAAATGAAGCTAGACACTTATTTTATTGTAAACTTTAATTTGAATTAAAGATAGAAAACAATAATATTTGCAACTTAATTATACAAGTTTCGGCAATTTAAACATTTACAGTAATTATCCCTTTAAACATATATAAGGATGATTTATAAAATTTAATAATCAGAAAATGTTCTTCAAAAGGATCTTTAATTTACAGCTAAGTCCAAAGCTTATAATTGCCAATATACTTCTTTATTAAGGGCACTGACCCAGGTCATTAAATAAAAATAAGCATATCTGTAAAAAAAAGTACTACATAACAAGGTGCATAGAAGCATGCACTTACAGATACTTTCTGAAAGGATGTAAACTACTTTGGGGCACTGTCATCTCTTTAGATCTTCTTGGTAATGAATAGCAGGACCTCTGATGTCCAGGTGCTACTGCAGAAAGATGACTAAGGCAACTACAGGCAAAATGCATGTGGGTGATGCACAAAATATACATTCCAAAAGTGAAGGCTTCTATGGAAAGGGCTGAGTATCTTCTTGTAACTAAGTCAAACAGATTAAGTCACTGACAGTATCTGATGTGTGGAATCTCTTAAAATGCAGACATTTTGCTGCTTTGCTGTTTATTCATAGCTATATAGCTTCTATACTTTATAACAGCCAACCAGTTTGGGGATCCACTTTGTTCTAGGCCTTAGGGTAATAGGCACATTCTAAATACGGAATGTTTAACACACACTGTTCTTGTTCTTTATATGTCCCCATTTTTTTTTCATATTGCATAAGCTGAATATTCACTGAGTAAGAAAAGCTCTTTTACTTTTTTTTCCAGGACAACTCTGCCCCAGTTTCCTTCAGTTTCCTTCTTTCATACTGTACAGTGGATCCACGAGTTTATTGTTCACATGCATTAAACCTTAAAGAAAAAACAGACAGTTCTAGTTGTATTCAGATTTATGATATATTTCATTCTTATATGATTACAAGGTCTACTGAATCTTTTAAGAGATAGTTTATAAATTAGTGTTGCTCTAGAAGAGTACAGATAGTTTGGAGTCCCAATAAAGCTTTAGTTCTTGCCTGGAGGATCATTAGAATGGCAGGCTGGTGAACTTGAATATGACTAGTTATTTCATTTATCTAAAAGTTTGTTTTGATTTTATGGCAATTGCTCTACTTGATGACAATAAGGGATACAGAATTATAATAATATAGCCCTGTCTTCCAAAACACTACCCTATATATCTTTTTTGGGGGGAGGGGGTTTCATGTGTTAACATATTTGCATATGTGTATGGGTGCCAAATGTCAGTATAGGGTGTCTTCCCTTTATCACAGCCCCTCACTTTTAGGGATGGTTTCTCACTGATTACAAATATCAAGTGTGAAGGACTGGCTGCTCAGAAAGTTCAGATCTTGTATATGACTTCCAGCCCTAGGATAATGGGCATGCACCACTGTGATTTGCCTTTTAATGTAGGGGCTGGGCGATCTGTACTTGGTTCTTCATGATTGTTAAGCAGGCTCCTGTTCTACTAAGCCATGTCCCCAGCTTCTAGATAGACTTTGGAATGCATTTACAAAACTTGATTGCAAGATGCTTTCCCATAACCTACTGAGGACAGGTATCGTAAAACAGGCCCTGTTTTAAATGATTTGGAAACTTGGATTCTAAATTTAAATAGACTTTAATAATCATTTTATAATTAGTATGCATGCTTTAGAGTAGAAATAAAAAAATTTAAATTTTATTTTCGAATGGGTATGTCTGCTTCTGAGTCATATCAAAGCTTCTCTTCCAGTTATAAGTCTCTTACAATACTGTCTTTGTCAGAATCAGTGAACTAAATAACAATTTCATAGTTTGGAAAACAAAGAAATGAAATTTTCCAGGCCATAAAAAATCTTATAAAATGTAGGGATGTTATTTAGTTTCTTCAGCACATTGGGTGTTGGATTTGAGAGGAAGGGTTAGAGATGCACATTCCTTGTTAAGGAGGCCACAAAAAGCACTCTGATGTCCACACAGTGAGGAAGCACTTCCAGGGTACTTGCAGTCAGCACTGACAAGTGGTCCAGGAAGAGAAAAACCCTAAGAGGCATCATCAAATAAGGAAGAAAGAAGCATTCCATTCCCTGGAGCAAGTGCTGAGTTTTCTCACAGCTCACTTCAAATGTTAGGCAGCACCTCAAACATCACAAGGACCACCAGAGGGGACATCAGAGGTAAAGGGACTTTACACTATGTGATTCTTGTACTGTTTTTGTAGATGGCCATCTAGAACAGTGGTTCTCAATTTTCCTAATGTAGTGACCCTTTAATGCAGTTCACATTGTGGGGACTGACCATAAATTATTTTTGTTATTTATATTTGGAATATTTTTGGATAGGGATCGTGACCCACAGATTGAGAACCATTGTACTTGATTCAATACTATCATTTGTTAACATCATTAAAACTTTAAAATACACACAGGGATATTAAGCAGTAAAGTTGTTTAAAATTATACGTTGTATTTAGCTTGTACACATAGGATAAGTTGCTTCTAAACAAAATATTTTAAGTACAAAACCATTTAGTAAAACTACTTTAAAAAGTATTAATAACTGGTATGTAAGTCATAAAGAGAATAAGAAAATACCTCTTCTGGTAAAAAAAAAAAAAAAAAAATGCACTGGTTTCCTGACATTTCTTTTACATATGCTACAGTGATAGAGGTTCTAAATTCCAGTTTGTTAACAAAGAGGTAAGGAATCTACCTGAACTCTATCTCTGATGTTAATGGGGACAAGCCGTGAAACAAACCTAGTTTAAATGACAGCAACATTCTGAATGCACACTAACACAAAGTTCCATTTTAAAGAAAAAAAAAAAAAAAAAAAAAAAACCAGCCAGGATGAATGGAACAAATTCTCAAGTATTCAGTCTTATGGAGGTAATGGGTGAAATAAGTTTTCATTCACTAACAATTATTATTGTTATGCATCTTAATAACCTAGATCTCTAGAAATAGAAAGATTCTTGTCACCAAAAGGGACTGATATAAATGGAATTTCAAGCATTATAGACAGTTACAGATTATTCTGTATAGATTATATCTCATCCATGTTCTCATGTGACACAACTATATACTTAATATGTAAAGCTAATCATGCAATTTACTATAGCTTTTTTTTTTTTCAAGAAAAGTTTATGATATACACTCATGTTTTTTAATCAATTCCATTGGTTGGACAGTTGCTGATATCCTGAAATCTCTTTAGAATGTATATAACTCAAAGATAGCAAATACAGTACCTTCCTTCAGGGCGTAGAGCAATCCTCACATGAATGGTTTGCTTTTCAAAATGTCTAGAATATGTCTAATAGTTACTTCCTTTCCAGATTAAGTTATCTAACACCTTTTAATTAGAAACAATGGTCATATATAGGTAAACAGCTAACAGTATTGCTAAACAGGTATGGTTCTGTTATAGTGCCATAAAGGTGAATAAAGCCCAACCTGCAGATGAGTTTTACTTCAGTTATCCACCTATGCCTGTTGGGATCTCTATGACTGGCTAAAGCAATTTCTCTTTTCTTAAATGCAAAGTAAAGAGAACTTACTGCATAACGCAGTTGTGAAAATTAAATAATTCAATCAGGGAGATACATTTAGAATACTGCCTGACAATACAAGGTTAAGCACTTACTAAACAAATTATGAAAAAAAAATCTAACAAAAAACTAATCATGACCAATAGCTTAGCCTACATTTAACTTAGGGATGCTGGTACTAGACAATGAATATGTCAGATATTTTTATGTTAAATCTTCTGGATGACAGCTTATATTAACTTCAAGGAGTTTAACACTTGTGATGCAAAGTAGACTATACGGAAACACACAGGTAGACTCAACAGCTTTGTTTCAGAACTCATCACCAAATGCATTCTGCTTCTATCTATCAAATTATATTTTAAGCTGCCATTTTAAGACAAGATTTACAAGAAATGTTTAATTGAATTTGAAGCATATACTTAGCTACGTATCTTTATTAAAATGTTTTTCATAAATACTTAAAGAAGAGCAATAGAAAATTTAGATGCAAAGAACACAAAACTACATAGACAGTATGGTCAAACCTTGCTTTAAGTAAGATTATTTTCAGGGCTTACTTAGTTTAAGTCATCTGCATACCACCTCTAGGGATTTTCCTGTGTATGAACATTTACATGAACTCTTACCAATTTCCTCTAGTTGAATTACAGTGTTTACATTTATATAGTTGCAAAGTGTTTTAGTTTATATGATCCTAATATAGCTGCTATATGTTGAAAGGATATTTTAAGTGTCACTAAGAAAAAAAGATATGACATAAGCAATGATAACCATTTTAAGACACATCCGGTCCCAATTTCAGTCAAGCAAGCCTTGTAGTTAATAAAATACAGCAACTGTGTTAATCTTTCCTTCAGCAATATTTATGAAATATAGGTTCAATTTGACATTACATTTCCAACACTTGTTAATCAAAGTTATAATAAAAATGTATATTCCTCCATGTCCCAGAATTGTCATGTATACTATACATTTTATGAACCACTAAATTAAATTAATATTCAGACCAACACAACTATTCTAAACAAGACCTCTATACGTTATGCACTTGAACATGCATGAGTTCAATCATAATCAGGAAACATGAAGCTTAGTGTAGTCTAAATGCTCTTAGAAGTCTCTTAAAGTGTTCATTATGTCAAACATTTTCTATGCAAAGTCCAATACAACTAAAATTTGAAAATAACGACTACAGGAAAAAGGAAAATCATATGCAAGTCTAAGCAATCAAACTGCTGATTTGCTGCTTATTTCATACCATTTTAAAGTGTACCCACTATAATACCAACTGTAACATGCTGGGATGGATGTGTGTGACATCAGAAATCTTAGACGGGATAGTGGGTGATGCTGCTTCACCATGTATTAGGTTAGAGTTAGAAGATAAGGCAGAACTCCCAGATGTTACCAAAGAAAGAACCCTCAGAGGACAATACTGAGTTATTTAATCTTATATATTAAATATGAAACTAAAATACTTCATTGAATTTTCAGGTTTCAATGAAAAAAAAATTGTCACAAAAGTTCAGAAAACTATTATCACGAAAAACCCAGAAGATGTGTTAGCACAATGCCCATTTTCAACAGGCTGAACTGTAAGATTAACATACACAATCATTAAGTTTTGCCCTCCCCTACAAGTATCTCATATGCATACTAATTCAGTGCTCACCTTTAAAGTATTTTACAGTTTTAACTTTTAATTCTAAAGTAGCATCTTCATCACATACAAAAATTGTTCGGGGATGCTGTTGAAAAGCTGAAACCGTCCACATGTGATTGATTCCTTCCTCGATGGCTTTGTACAGGGCAAATGCCTTGTGTGCACCTGTTATGAGAATCATCACCTGCAGGAACAAGAGTGTCACTTGCTAATTAAAGGGAGCAGAAAGCTTCATGATAACACATAAGTGAGGACCAGAGTTAACCTTTTGACACTGATGTATAAAAGACATGCCTGAGAAAGTAAAGAGAAGGGCTTCCTGGGTTAAAGAAAAAAGTTATGTGTTATCAACAAATTTATATATTGTGGGCTACCTAACACTCCAAATCTCCTCTTGTCCAGTTATAAAATATATCCTACATTAGAAAAGCAAGTGTTCTATACAACGACAATTTTAAGGACAGCTAGAGAAGCCTGAACTTTCACCTAATGGGTATGATGGTCTCATAAGTTGTTCTAAACACAAACTACTGGATTTAAGAATCTGGGATCTCCTGAAACACAGGCACTAATTTTGAAGCACATGGGTGAGGCACTCTTGGAAATTACACAAACTGTAAGTTCCCAGTTTTTAATTTCTTACCACTTGTGAAATAAGTTGAGAAATATGTAAGTATGTATCAGAAAGGATCTTATGATGTTTCAGCTATCCTTCCACAACTGAGAATACATACTATGTTATCATTTATTATTCTCTTTTTAATTAGTACCATAAAACATAATGGGTTTCATTGTTATATTTTCATAAATGCACATACTTAAATTACTTCCACTCTTAACTTTCCTTCCTATTCACTCTGGCATAACTGAACCCCTACCTCTTCCCAAATATTCTTCCTTAAATGTGGATCATATGAGAACATAAATTATTTCTCTTTCTCATTTGGATTATTTTACTTATTTATTCTCATTAAAATTATTTAAAATGATTGCAGTTCTAAAGTATTTAAAATAAAAAAATTCATATTTATGCACATTTTAGGGCTAGGTATTCTAAAGTATAGAAAATGAAAGAGGACTGAATCGAGGAACTGTGTTTTTAAAAATCATAATTCAAAATGATTTTCACTGTGAAATTGAATCAATTGGATCTTAACCAAAGTTGAATGTATCACACCTTAATTAAAACCATCTGTCTTTTAAAACAAAAATTAATTAGTTTCACGTAAGGTAATGAAAACTTAACTTTGTAAATTAATTTTCCTTGCTGGACATTGCCAAAGTATTGTCTTAATAATAAGGTATTTGTTACAGAAACAACCAAAATGAAGTGTGTGTACACCAACACAAAGATATACATCACGGGTTATTTCAGGTCTTCTCTAATATTTGGAGTGCTCATACAGTAATGAAAGTCCCTTAGGTCATTAGCATGCCAACAATGTCACAGGAAGTCCTTAGAAGGCACTTCAATCTCCATTTTTGTTTCTTTAAATAATATTAGGTAGCCTTTTATTTATTTGTGTGTGTGTGTGTGCACAACAATCAATCAGCTCTCTCCAAGTACGTGTGCCTCATGGACTAAAAAGCTAGTCCTCCTAAAGTATAGTTGTGAAGCACTTTATATTTATCAATCCCATGAAGTACAAAACTCTGTAGGTCATTCACTCTGTACCACTGTCCCAACTTCCCTTTTACAACACTATTTAAATGACAACAAAACCATGCAGTTACTAAGATTTTAAGGCAAATTGAAGCAGGCATGGGTAGGTGAAGTAGCACCTGAATGGGTGATTTCTGGTGCATGCTTTGTAACTGCAGACATAAGTTGATTCTTAGCAAGTCAGTGAGAATGACAAAAGTTAGACACTGTAAACTAAGCCATTTTATTGGAAATTGGATGCATCTCAAATATTTAGCACCATAATCATTCAACATCAAAGAAAAATGATCAAAGACCATTTCTTACCTCCCTAGCATCCATCACTGTCCCCACACCAACAGTTAGAGCCATGGTCGGCACTTTTGATAAGTCTCCATCAAAATATTTAGCATTTGCCAAAATGGTGTCCATAGCCAGAGTCTTTAATCTCGTTCTTGATACTAAACTGGATCCTGGCTCATTGAAAGCAATGTGACCATCTGGACCTATTCCTTTCAAAACAGATACAATCACTCATATAAACATGAAATATATAAGGTTTCCAACATACAGTAAACATTTTCTCAAATATCAACATATTTATAAAGGCAAAGAAATAACCATAAACACATTTACCTTATTTTACAGATATTTCATTCAATATGTCCATATTTGTTGTATACACAGCATGAAATGACATAGTTCTAGCAATAACAGGAGAGCATCACACACACACACACATATATATATATATATAGGCTTAGGAAATATTTTCATAACAGATAATAGTAGGTAATTTTGTGATTAAACATGGCTACTTCCCTCATTGCCACCTTTTTGCTAACACATAAACAGATGTGCAAGAAAAATAAATGGCTCTTCAGGACCACAGTATAGTAAACACCAAGATACACTCTTCTTGCCTTCTGAGTACTAACTTGTGATCTTTACACTCTCACTTTGCTTTAATTCCCTTTTAGGTTAGGTGGTTACTGTTACTGTGCCCTTTTAGTTTTATTTCCTCATAAAGTAATATAGACATTGTATAAGATAATACCTAGGATACTAGTTTTGTTTTTCAAGCTTTTGATTTTTCACTATAACCTAACACTAACACACACACACACACACACACACACACACACACCACTAAAATAGAATTAAACAAACAAAATGCATGAAACCATCTTAGCCTTACTGTCGTCAGCCATGCAACATCTTTTCTGTTAAGCTCCTTTCCCTAACAGTGCAAGAAGGAGATGCTGGATGTTAGGGCTGTACTGATTTTATGACATATGAGTGACAACCACAGTGACCTATGCATATCTGCCACATTCTAAGACATCCTTAAAATATAGAGGAGAATGAAGTATTCCTTATCTGAAGACAATTGGAGGTTACTTCCCTTCATAAAGTCAAAAACTTTTAAAAATCAAACTTATAATACAGTTATAAGTTATATAGGTTATAATATATATATAAGTTATAATACAGTTAGCTGTTTAACATATAGAAACTTCAATAATAAACAAGTACTTAAAATACCTTTTAAGTGTATTTCACTGATATTTGCTATACAACTCTTAAGTTTCCCAAGACTTGAAAAATACAGCAAGCTATAATATAGTTATTAAGAAGGATTAAGAAAAATGAAAACACTGTGAAGCAAATGTTCTAAAGCACAATTTAGCAATGACTAATGCGTGGAAATACATTTTTAATAAGGACTGACATACAGTTATTATTCAAGGATTGTTTCCATTCCTAAGTATTGACCTGTTTCTAGTATGTTTAATTACACTTAATCCTTCTTCCCTACATTTTCCAAATTATTGTTTACTGTTGCAGATATTAACTTTCTTCTTTTTATTAGAAGAGTAGAAATGATAGAAGCTTCAGAAAAGAAAAAAATCAGAAGTCTCCTAAGACTCATATTAATGTTTGTAGTGGTGACGTGGGCCACTGAGAAGCATATGGCTGACCTCAGATTCTGGTCAATGGTACTGACAGAGAAAGAGAAGCACATTTGCTTCCTGCCACAGCTAACACAGAGATGATGATTCTGATAAGGTTTTAAGTCCAGTTAACTCTTCTGACCTTTAAATCTAAATCAGGATATCAGCATCATATTCTTCCTTTGTTCCTGTAGTTTTGTGGGTAGTTTGTAAACTTTGAGTACAGCTTCTATGTGCCTCTTTCTACTACTCAAAAACAACATTGCACATACAAGGCACTCAATAAAGCACAGCTGAATGAATTAATGGATGCTACCTCTTCTGCACACTCCTCACTACAGGTCCCTATCATACTGAGTGAGGGTGACCTACAAAATGGAAAAACTGAAGATGAAGCAATGGGCATCACTGTCCAGAGCTGATCTTAACCTGGTGAACAGAAACAAAGGAAATGCTAACAAGCAACTAACTGACAGCTGTCAGTTAATGGGCCCTTGCTTCTGAGTGTTGAGGCCTTTGGTTGTTTCCAAACAATGTTTGGTCCCTTCCATAGGTTTTGTGAAAAATACAGAAACACTCCAATTGACACACTAGTCCCCTTCCACTAGTTATCCCATTACTGCCAAACCAAGACTTTAACAATTACAAAAATGTGGAAGCTTTCCTCACTGTTTATTTTTAATGTTAAGTAAGTAAAATACCATTTTTTTTAAAATTGCAGTTGAGTTTTACGTGTCAAATGCCACTGTGGTGTACCTTATTGCTGAGTGGTCCTTAGAACCCCAGGATCTACCTTAACTTTCTCATCATTTCTGCCTTCAGGGAAGATTGAGCTCTCAGAGTATTTATTTCCTCCTTTCTCTGTTCTGCCAAGGGAAAGGAACCCAGCTAACCACCCTGGGGCAAACAGCAGCACATTTATATTTTTAAACTCCTCCAGCTCTAGTTCATTTCACAATGGAGGGGGAAAAAATACTGGCTCCAGGCCCAGCCTACAATCTCTATTCCAACTTTACCTTTAATTAAGCTGATATTTTGATCCCATTTGGCAGTTCTTAGTGTTTTTATTAACCAAACCCTGGAACAAAAGAAGGGTAAGTGGTAAGATCCAGATACCAAGCCTCATCTTAAAAATTCCAAAGATAATTACCTAGATGAAGAAATGCAAAGAATCAAATGAGATTCTTTCATGAGCAAGCAAGTGTTCAACAATGGTTACTCCAAACAGGAAAGCAAAGCACATGCTAATTCCTCTCTCTGCACAAAAATCACATTCTCTAGATGGTACACATAAAATGTCAGGTCCTGGATCATCAGACTCTAGTGAAGATGTTAATGAATGAGGTAAAGGATTTTCTTTAAAATGGTTTCTGTTTGGGAGGTAGTAAAGAAATAATTATAGGAAGCTTAAGATAAAGGAGGTTTTAAAAAAGTGACAGTAAGTTGGTGACAAGAGTAGCTACACCTAATATCCATTTAATTAGAAGGGAGAGGTGGTGTTTATTATTGAGGAAACAGATCAAACACATAAATGAAAAAGAAATGAGAAATGACTTAAAGCAGTGGGAAATGAGTTTCTATCAGAAATACTGAATAGGAGAGCTGCAGTCTTAAAAAAAACAAAACTACTAAACTCAAGAGTGCTTCCTAGAATGTAGAAAACAGAACAGTAGTCTTCATCCCCTGCCCAGTAAATTATTTTTTCTTGCACTCAGTCTATAAGGGATTTGTCACATGGGTCCTTCTGTAAAGTCAACAAATTAACAGGAGAAAATAAATTTCTACAAATGAAAACATTTTTAAACACCTATTTTAATTTTTAATCTCTAATGTTCAACATGTGTTTTGAACATAAATAACAGCAAATTAGTGAAATCATATTTTGAAAAAGAAGAAAAAAATTATGATAGACCATTTAGGAATAGTATAGTCATGATATGGAAATCACAAAAATCTGTTTTAACATTCCCAAACATCTAGTATCTCAGCCTTAATATTGACAGATAAAAATGGTAATTATCTCGTTATTTCAAAACTGGACCATATGTACAAAGCCAGACTGTGAAAGAGCTCTGTAGGATTACTAAAGTGAATATTCACAAGATTTACTTAAAATGATGACATTCTATTTAAAATGCAAAATAGTAAGCATATATTCATGATCAGATAAATAGCAATTCTATCCATACAAGAAAGTAGACAGCACTGACTCTGATACACATGACAAAAATTTCCTCAGAGTAGAGTCCAGTCTTGCTTGGTCATCCATAAAAATAATCCTGTAAGAACCTCAGGGAATTTAATGAACTCAGGGCCAACACTACATTAGCCTCCACAGCTCATGGAAAACAACACCAAGTGACCTTGAGTCAGCTGTGTGCCAAGTACCATTCTAAGGCATTTAAAACATGTTTCAATACACTGAATTTTCACACATGTCGAGCAAGTCAGAACTAATCCTGTCTTGCACAAGATCTAGTTACAATGAACTTCATTAAACTTACAGGGCATATAGAGAGACTGAAAATGCAAATGTAAGTTTTACTGTAAATCCCACCAGCAACCAACCACTGCAATCATACTCAGCCACTTCAACCATGAGTCCACCTCCATACAACCCTGGGCAATTTTCTCATTACTTAGGTATAAAACATATAAAGGTAGTTTAGATTACTGGTATTTTAGATGACTATGAAAGATCGGCATAAAAAATGGTTTTGGCTTTACTGTAGTTGGTTTATATTTTTCTGACACAATGGCTTTCTCAAGCTGTTTTATTCTGGCAATAGCGAGCCACTGCTATTACAAAGGAACAAACTCCTATTTTGGTACATTTATGCACTCATACACACAGATAAACACATTTAACTTCTAAGTGGAATTTGGTTAACCAAACATCCATTCCCTTTGGGATGTAGTAAGGCACTTAGAGAATTTAACTCGTAAACTGGTGATAAAAGTCTTACATCCCTCTTAGCTGATCTGAATGAGCTCAGCATAACTGAAGTTATCTGACAGTTATTTACCAATTTATCATAAGTGCTACTCTATTATGTAGCCAGTGCTGGAGCTAAACAAAAATAACCAAATATAGGCCTTCACTCAGGACAATGACCCAGCAGCGCATTTCCAGGATGTGGTGAACTGTTGTCCTTAGAGATAGTCAAAAGCATTTAACAGGGATGGGGACCTATTTCTTGAGGCACAATTTAAACTATGTGTTAAGGGTTGCAATTAGAAGTTTATTTTTTACTTACTTTATCTGTAGTTTTTAAAATGAAAATAAATTGGAATCACTGTATTTCTATTATTGGATATTAACAGTCAATGGGTGTTCTTTGCATTATGCAATGGTAACATTTTTTTAAACACTATTTCAGATATGAGCAGACAAAGTGATTGATAACAATATCATCTTTCGTACCTCCAACAAAAAGATCTATTCCTCCAGCTTCTTTTATTTTCTGCTCAAATGCATCACATTCTGCCTGCAAATCTTCAGCATTCCCATCAAGGATGTGAGCATTGTTAGGATCTATATCAACATGCTTAAAAAAGTTATTCCACATATAAGAATGGTAGCTTTCAGGATGGTTTCTTGGAAGTCCTAAACATGAAGTTAATAATAAAGATATAACTCTTTTTCAGAAAAGCCTTTTCTATACTACATTGATTTTAAATGTTTGGCATAGAACATATGCTTGAAATATACCTGTGTCACTTTAAACATCTGCACTAACACAATTAGTTTGCAAACATACATGAAAATACTATCATTTGCATTTTATAGATGAACACATGAAGCACAGAGCTCTCCTCCAAGTCATACAGCCAATAGAGAGAGATGTGATGCAAACACCGGAAGTCTAGTTCATGAACATAGTCACTATACACCTGACACATACACAAAAAAAATGTTATCCAAATGGTACTGATTTCTGTATTTTTAACAATTTTTTGTGATTACAATGAAATTATATATTTGTCCTTTTCCTTTTCCTCCCTCCAAAACCCATATACTCTGCCCCAGTCTTCTATATACATGCCCTATTTTTCTTTAACTGTTGTTGTTGCTGTTGTGTGTAAATTTATATATCCCTAAATATATAGTGACATCCTGCTTAGTCTGTACATAATGTTAGTTTTCAGGGCTAACTATTTGGTATTGAATAACAAATTTGTATTAGAAGACACCTTTCCTGGGGGAAGACTATTTCTCTAGCTCTCAGTCTTCCTTACTTGTCTGTAGTTCTCTGTCTAGGGTTGAGGCTCCTTGAGATTCCACTTTGCACATTAGCATGGCATCTTTGTTAAAGCCATACTCAGGCTGTCAGGCTGGTGAGACTTCATGGGTGTAAGCTACACCCATAATTATATATTTTTAAAGAATTAATTAGTGGCCACATATTTCTTGTATGTTAAACCATAATCGTCATATGGCTATTGTATATAAACATTGAAAATGTACTATTATATTTATGCTTTAACAAAGAGTTTGTAAGTTATAGATCCTTCCAGTTAAGCAAAGTAACAAATTACACAAGATTTGTGGGCGCTAACACAAATAGTTGATTTGTAAAAAATAAATTCTTTATAAATTGCCTTTACATATGTTTCACTTAATTTTCTAAGGAGAAAGGAAGAAGCAGAAGGGAGAGATGGACAGGGAAGAGAGAAAAGGAAGAGAAAATGGATATGAATGATTTGTGAATGGACTAATGCTCAGTTACATTATAGGTAAATGGCAAAATGAACACAGATTTTCAGATTTCAGCTCTTACATTCCTTCCATTAAACTACACAATAATCAATTTCACCAACAAAGCAGTACAAAAAGAGTTCTAGAAATTACATATTCTAAAGTTTCACCACATTTAAAATGTAATATATAATATACTCAAATAGCATATTCAAATATAACTTACCTACATATTCATCCATGTTAAAAGTCTTCACGTATTTAAATGAAAGGTTCCCACTCTTGTAGTACTCTATTAATTTTTTATAACATCCTAGAGGTGTGCTTCCTAAAAGAGAAAAAGTGTCCATTTTCTAAAGTAACTTGAAAATTTATAAAATATTTCTACTTAAATTTTCTGAGTAACATCCTATATTTCAAAACAGGCAAACAATTTAAATACAGATTCAATGTTCATGATAGGTTGTTTCTTTCCACATGCATTGAAATTTCATTAAACCATAATTTGGTTAGCAAAGCTGGAAACCTATAAACAAAAATGGAAGTTGGAAAACTATTCTGAACTGTTCTCAGCATTTAGAATTGCTATTGCAAATTATAAAATTAACCTTTTAGTGTGAATACTGGGTAAAAATCAAAGTAAACACTATGCTTGAAAAAACAAAAACAAAAAACCTGAGTTGTAGCATGAGTGATAGAAAGTTAGGATAGAGAGAATTTCTTGCAACTTGTACTTCTGTTTTTGTTTATCTTTAACATGTATCCCTTAAAAGGCTTAATTGAGTAGCCAGTTATTGGTGGCACAGGTTTTTAATCCCAGGACTCGAAGGCAGAGACAGGTGAATCTCTGTGGGTTCGAGTCCAGCCTGGTCTACAGAGCTAGTTCCAGGACAGGGTCCAATGCTTTCAAAGCCACAGAGAAACTCTGCCTCAAACAAACAAACAAACAAACAAAAAGGCTTAGCCGAGAAAGAAAATTGCTACACCTTTAAAAAGGAGAGGACTTCTAGTATGTCCTCAGAGCAAATGCACCATATTTTAAAAGGTGATTATTTTATCTTACATGTACTATAAAAGTTTTGATTTATTTAGCAAGAAATTGTGTTTGTGCTTAATAAGATGACACAATAAAGATAAATTTATGTTTACGGAGGGCCTCCCTTTTGCTTTATTAAATTTTTTTAATTATAATCCCAGTGAAATGCTACCCTTATTAACATATGATCTGACCTCCTCAGTCCTGGAATCTAAAACAAAAATCTAAAACCACTATTGAAATAAATATTTCTGGAGTAGCAGTTAGAATCTTAAGCAGTATTTAGATATCTTCTAGATTAAAAAAAAAAAGAAAATCTATGGCCGGAACAAGAAAGGGGTGCAAGCGTTTCAGTAGTGGTGACTTCCCCTGACTTGAGAAGACAGAATAACAAGTGGCTATACATAACAGAGAGAGAGAGAGAGAGAGAGAGAGAGAGAGAGAGAGAGAGAGAGAGAGAGAGAGAGAGAGAAATGAAAGAGCTGATAAGAGTAAATCTGTTAGAGAAATTTCATTTCATTATTTGCTTTGTGATGGTCCTGCACTCCATAAGTCATGTGTAACACATGCCTTCTGGGACTCAAAGCTTGTTAGGGCTTTTTCTGCTTGAGAAGAACTCACAATACAGATACCAAGTACAAAACTGTGATGTGAAGAAAAACCTCAGGGAATTTTAGGGTATGGCATTGAAGAATAAAAGGCTACAATCCTGCTTGTCAAAGAATGAGCAAAGAGATCATTTCAACTGAGTCATGAGGGACTGGAATCCTGACAACCACACAGCAATCTGTAATTAAGGCAGACAAAAGATGGAGAAAAAAGGTTCAAGGACAGTACCTGCATGCCCAGCCCATGGCTACATGCCATGTAGGTGTTTCTACACATTACCTAGGGTAAATCTCAAAACCTGGAAAACTGGCAGGATCTTTCATATTGGAAATTTAAGAAATGGACTGAAAAGATGAATGTATTTTCCAAGTACCAAATGGCAATGAAGCCAGGTGTGTTTGTTCCAAAACATACACAGATATAACAGGGCAGCGTATGAGTGAAAAGAAAAGAAGCCAGAAAGTTCAGGCTTCTTATTTGAATCACAAGCAGTCCAATTTACTTCATATCCCACTAAGAGTAGGAAAATGATGAAAACAAAGTTCCCAGGCAAGTCACATCCACAATATGCAGATCTTTAAAATAATTCACTTAAAAACACACATTCCCCAAATAGGGCTAGGTGGAGAATCACTGATGCACAGGATGTTGCCTTTAACCTCAGATGTGCATGTTCCAATTTCAGAATCAGGGGTGGAAGTCAAGAATACAAACACCATCTATGCCCAACAAAGATAAGACACAAAATGTCAACAAAGGTTTTTCACATATTTCTTGGCAGATGCACTGGTAGTAACTTTAAGCAATAAGAAACGTGTCTAGCACCCACTACTAACATGTAGTACTCTGTCCCCACTCAAATTATTATTTCTGTGTCATAATTAAGACAAATGATTAATATAGGTAGCCTATGTATAAGCCATTGATAGTATGCAAACAGATCTATAGGGTTGTCAAACAGTCAAAGTCTGCATGAGGGTGTCGATGTGAACGTGTGGTATCTATATGCCTAGTTCACAAAAATATCCCATTGTAATTCTCACCAAGACCTTCTGTCCTAGACAAAAGGAGAGAAAGCAAAATATCAAATCATCTAGAAAAATATCATTCACAGAAATCAACTAAGTATAATGAATTATGACTATAGATTTTATATAGCTGGGAAAGCATGGAGGGTAGATTAGGAGAAAATAGTCTATTTAAATAATGCCATATACAGCATTTACTGCATTCAAAAGATCTGCACATACACTGTTGTAGCTGAGCTTCAGTATGTAAGCTACTATAATTATTACTATTTTATCCTTTGTGCATGTAAGGAATACAAAGCTCAAGGTTTGTGGAGTGAATGCCTTAATGCCACTAAAATCTGTTCTGAATCTAGGTTTAGTGCACTTTGTAAACAATCAAAAGTTACCAATATAGAAGTGCCAAAAGATTAAGTGATACTACTTGATCCTTTTGAAAGGCAACTCTTCATGGAGAACTAAAGCCAACAGAACATGGAATAATCATTTGGGCTTATTCCTGTGACAAAGCAACAAGAGCTTCAATGGTTTTCACCTGAAATACTTCTAAACAGAAGAATAAAAAGTAAAAGCCTAACAAGGTAAGACATCATAAAGGTAACACAAATCAAGAAGTAGCTATACACACTTTAGTTTTCACCTGTTAGTGATGAAAGAGCTAAATTATTAGAAATTATATGCACAATGAAAGCAGTGCTCTAGAAATGCAAGTACTAGAAAAGGTACAGAAATATTATGATCATCATTTAAATTAGGATACTTTCTGAAATTGCAGTTTTTGGAGTAGTAGGTAGAACAGAGTTTTAACACCAATAGACTCACTATATAGATACTGCAATAGACTGCATATATTACTGGCTTTATAAGCTATTATGTTCAACAATATAGAAAATAATAAGTATTTCACTAAGAAATGCTATATGACTTCTACAATGTTAAATAACAAGAGTATATAAAATAAAAAGTATGGTTTATACCTGTTGGTAAGCCAAGTGAAAAATACCTGTCCTGTCCAGGTTTGAATTTAACGATACAATTGCAGATGTACTTGGCTGCCCATTCACTGGCCAAGTCATAGTTATCAAGAATTACAAGTCTCATTATTGGTGATGTACAGCTCTTAGCACAAGAGGTTCAAACCTGTGAAAATCCCATTATAGAGAACTTTAGACATTTTTCAGACACCCAGGGTGTATTGATTTTTTTAAAGGGACAGTACTTAAAGAGGACATGCACATATAAAAATACAATCCATACTTATGAAGTAATAGTAACAGCATTTTCTTTTCTCAAACAGAACCCAGGCTTTTGGCAGGGGCCTAGGTCATTTGGAGGCATATATTAAACTTTATTACAATCCGGTGAAGTAACACAATGCTTACTTATACTGGAAGAAATGGGCTCACACAAGTTGCCCATGGTCACGTGGTAAATGACACAGCAGAATTGAAATAAAAACATCAGACTATACTATGTACAAGTATAATGTACACTCTTACCAAAGCAACCATCCCTGAATAAAGAAAGCTGCACTCGTTAACTGCAAGTTAACGATTGTAATGACTTAGCAACTTTGAATTACTTACCACAATCCAGAACTGTCCCTATAAAAACCATAATGATCAAATTTCCCTTTTTTAAAACAATATTTAAATCCCACCAGAGCTAATGTGCATTTTCATTAGTTACACACACACACACACACACACACACACACACACTTTAATATTTTAGGGTTTTAACAAGATCAGACCTGAATGAAGGTGCTGACCTCTGGGTGAAAAATTCTTTCACACACACACACACACACACACACACACACACAAATGCAATTTTAGTTCTTAATTGCCTACTTTTTTAACTTAAAAATATTATTAAAAACATAAAGCCACAATTCTCAGATTTAAATTTCTAGTTTTACATTTAAGTGTGTCAACCACCAACATCAACCCTTTCATGACATGGTGACTTCAGCATTCCTGTTTGGTAACACACACTCTACACAGAATACTCAATCAAATATATAAACTAACAGGAACGTAATACACTCTCCTGACAAATACATAGGAACCAACTGATATTCTCAGGAGCATGACTTAGAATTCTAAAACAACAAAATCTGATCACTATAATCTCGAATCCTGGGACAGCAGAGATAAACAGCATTTATAAAAAAAATCACGAAGCTTTTTAAAACACAGCCTAACAACTGAGCCCCCAACTCCATTTAGGTATAATAATAATCTAATATTAAAAAAAAAAAAAACTCCAGAGTTACACCAAAAATCCCAAACTGCTGGCTGTTTTAGCCATCGAAAGGTATCTATTTACTTCTAAGGATTACTCAGCAAACAACCATAAGAAAAAGGAACCATAAGGAGAGGCATTAGATCCTCCGGTGCTTTGTTGTCCCTTAGTTTAGCACACTTGCCAGGGTGTAGTCTGTATTGAACACTGCGAAGCCCCACAGAAACCGATTTTATAAGGACCCTGTTGCTAAATGGCATTAGATCAACTTAATACTACCTTCAATTTGCGATCATTCGTAATTTTCAGTGTAGAAACTAACTCAAATGCTGCAGAAGTTATAAAGCCATTGTGGAGGGAGCTAGACTTTTCATGTATCTGACACAAATACCCATGCATTAAATGCTTGATCCATTCGGAATGATGAAAACTACTTGTTAAAAGACTCTGGGCCCTTCTCCTTAGTTCCAACAGATCACAAACCGAGTCCAAGAGCCTGTCAAGTATCACAGGTGGTTCTTATACCTGAGCTACAATGAGAAGTTTCAAGCAAGTCATTCTTACTAAAATCGCAGGCAAGTTGTTTGTGGGTTTTATTCAGAGAGCAGAGTTCGCCTTCAAAATTCCTGAGTGATTCCCCCTATTCAAGATAAATTCTCTATATTTATTAAGATTTTTAAGACGCCCCTTTCCCAGATTTTACAGTCATCAGAAACCGAAACTGTCAATGCTTTGAGACTCTGGCATCGAGAGCAGATGTCATTAAAACAAAAAACAAAAAACGCCAATTTGGCTCTTAGGATTTCCTACAGGTGCTGATTCATTCGGGAAACGCAGCCCCAGGAAGAGCGTCTGAAGCCAATTAAGTCCCTGAACTTTCTATTCGGTGGGAACTTCTACACTACAGAGCTTTGACAGCGCAAGAATCTACACACCTGGTGTTCCAGTGTGCCAAGCTCCTTGGCACCCACTCCTGGACCCCAGCAGGTGTGCTTGCAGCAGATGACCTGGCTGTTCGCCCCACCTGCGCAGGCGGGGACCGTTCCGGACCAGGACTGTCCTGCCCTGAGCATCCCGGGGCAGAGTGAGGACTTGGTGCTGGCAGGCGCTGGAAGCCTCCGGAGGCCTGAGTGAGGCCGACAGCATCCCGGGGCTCAGCGGCACCGAGCAGGGTCGCCCCAGCCGCGCCCCACTCCGCACGGTGCCCAGAGGGTCGGGGGCAACGATCCCCGTCCAAGCCCCGCATCGGAGCTGTGTTGTGTCGCACTCCACCCCCGCAAACTCACCTGCAAACCCACAGCCTCCAACGAAACCAGAAAGACGGTAACTAAAGCACCCGGCAACGCGCCAACGACTTCAGCCGGTGAACAGTTATGAAGCGTGAGAACCCGGATGCAGACACAAACACAGGAAGGAGGAAGCTGCGCAAGCGCACTGCCAACAGAGGTGCAAGCCAGATTCATCTCCCACCTGTGGCAGAAACACCTTTCCACCTGGGTAGGGGCTAGAGGGAGAGTCTTCTCGGGGCACCCACCTGCTACTACTCTTTTTCCTTATGTTTTTCAGAGGTTGAACTGCAAGTAGATTCCTAGTAGGCATGTAATATGCAGGCATGATATTGTGAATTACTGGATTACTTTACCCCAATTAGTTAATAGTTACTTTTTTTTTTTTTAACATCATAAAGTAGCTCTCAATTTAAAGGGACTAAGAGTTTATTTTGGGGCCAAGCAGATGACTAGCTCTAGAGAACATAATTCCAGTTAACCAAAATACTGTGTTCCAACGGTGCAACAATTTCATGGAGGTTTTCTGTTTGTTTGGTTGGTTGGTTGATTGGTTGGTTTTGTTGTTGTTGTTGTTATTTTGTTTTGTTTTTTGTTTTTTTATGGTAAAAGAACAAAAGCAAAGTCATAAATCAATATGCTTTCAAAGATGTTGGTGGAAACATGAGATAGGCGTTACAGCAAAATGGGAACTCTGTTCTATATGCCAAAATGCTTCCCGATGACAGCCCCTAGCCTAGGAGTTTCAGTCAATTTGTTCCAAGCGCATTTCCCTACTAGCCAGGATGATGCTAGATCCCATACAAGTTAGACAGTAAGTGGACATGTACAGGGTTTCAACACACCCCCCCCTCCAAGATAATTTGGCTTTGGACCTGCAGCATTTCTACTTCCAACAATGATCCAATAATCAGCTCCTAAGTTTGTTCTGAGAACTTAGTTCAAACTTTTGAAAACACAGTGACTACTTTGGATCCTAAGATCCTATCAAAGTTAAGTCTGCAGAGAGGAAATCTGAAACCTATAGGAAGGAAACTCTCAGGAGGCTCTCAGAAGGGATACCCCAGGAGATTATATCATTGTGTGACTTGTGCTGAATGGTTTAGCAGAAGTCTACACAAACTTTGAATGGCTGTGAAGTTCATTGTAAAGAAAAAAAAAGTAAGCAGCAGTCTCTCTCTCCCTCTCTCAAACACACACACACACACACACACACACACACACACACACACACACACACAGAGAGAGAGAGAGAGAGAGAGCAAAAACAACAAAAGCTTTTGTCCTCAAAATATTTGATTAAAAACCATTGAATGTTTGTTCCACTAGGAGCAACACATTCACTATCAGCATTGGATGGCAAGCTGATTCAGGATCCTGTTTCCATGGATACTACAACATTGACACAAATGTAGTATGCTATTTCTTTAGATTTATCAAAAGAATATCCTGTAGTATTGTAATCTTACTGGTGCACGAATAGTAATTTTTAATTCAGGTATTTTTCCTCAAAATTTTCCTAAATGTTTTCAGCATTCCAACATAAATGTTTCCACAGAAAATGAAAACCTGTGGATACCTTCCAGACTAATGTGGTTTGATCAAGCCAGACACCTGAAACAGAGTACCAGGTGATCCTACATTCAAAACAGCTAGAAAAAGCAGCCTTACAGACTACAGCCAGGATTTCTGCATCTTCTTAATCTCCCATGACAACGCCCCTTACCAGCAGGAAGTAGTTTGGAAAGAATGATGCCCAAATTCCCAAATATTGTCTATAAATGTTTGTTTGCAGTTAAATGGACTTGGTTATATAAAATAAATAAATAAATGTAAATAAAAAAACTTGTAAGAACCTAGTTTTTTTTTTTTTTTTTGTTCACAGTATCTAGGGTAAAGATCAAAATTTGTTTCTCAAAGTACTTCGACCTTAAATAAATCATTGTGGAAAACAGTGATTGACTTCTCTTATCAATAGAGCTGTTTTTCTGAAGAAACTTTACAGCCTTTGCATGTTTTCAGTCATATAACTATCCTGGCATGCCTGGAGCTTTTCAATTAACTGGGTACTGAAAACAGTACACAATGAGGATTAAAGTGGCTGGGGTGTGATGCTTTCCTTCAGAAAACATATAGGTTAGATCAGTGACTTTGGTGAAGAACTTGTTTACTCCCAAACTAACTTTTGTGTAACAATCAATAAACACACCTTTGCACAACTATTTGAGGTTCAGTTCACAGAAACTGCTCCTCCCTGCTGCCAGAGGGCCTAAACAAAACACCTGACATTTGGTGCCCATGGTTGTAGGCTCAGAGAAAGAGAGATTCAGACACTCCAGGACTGAAGATAACATTTGCTTAAAATAAGCAAGACTCCAGTATTTGGCAGGAACATAGGAAATTTCCCATCTCAGAAGCAGCAAAATATATAAATAGGAAGGCACTTGAAATAAAGAATAAAACAAAGGAAAAGGCCCTTCCTGGTGGAAAATGGGGAACATTTTTATTCAAGAACAAAGGGATCTCCCTGGTAGAAAAGCAAGAAAGGTTTATGTTCAGATTAGTTGGACACTTGCGGAGATGACAGATCTGAAACAATTTAAAGAAGCTGTGGTATCATATGAAAAGGATTCATCCTATATAAGACCGATTTTAAATAACTGGGCTATTCATATTAAAGTCATTCCAAAAGATTGAAAACAAATAACATTGGCTGTAGCTCTGAACTCACTGCCTGCATGAGCTTAGCTCTTTCAGCTAAGGGCCTGCCAGCCAACATTGGCAACAACTCAACTCTAAAGAATTAGAGCTGAATGCCACAATTGTACCATGAGCTAACACAGCCAGCACAGAACTTACAATTTTCTTCTTGTTTGTTTGTTTGCTTGCTTTATTTGTTTAAATGTTTCTTCCCTCATAGCAGGAATAAATCAATATCAAAGGCCCCTTACTAGGAAATGTTTCTGTTGTTTTTGTTGTTGTTTTGTAGTTTTCCTTAATAGCCTGAACAACTCAATGTCAATGGTCCCCTTCACAACTAGGGCATAAAGTACTAAGCCAATGCTATTTAAATTTCCAGAGGCATTAGGGTGCTCTCTTCTCTTGATCATCTACCTAATGCTTAAATGAATGTTTAATTTCTAGTGGTAAATAAATTAAAAGAACAAAATTTATAATATCATTGGGTCTGTTCTCATTTGTCTAACACTACTGAGGATTTGGCTTTTTAAGCTATTTCTGGAAACTCTTGGTTAAATTCTATGAAAATGTGACACCTGAAACAGAGCAGGTTATTAGTTTATTAAATAATGTGACTGCTAAGACAGTAGCTCAGAAAAAAATCTCTTACTGATAAACAGCATACAAAAATTATTTTTATATTAAAAATGCAAGTAAATTGTTTGTGCCATAGTCTTAATAATTTGCAAGTTGTATTAAAATATCCCTTGGAATCTACAAAAAGGATCTCTTTTAAAGATTTTACAATACTTTATGGGTATTGCCTAAAGTTACATCTTAAAATCCTATACAAGTTTGATGGGAGATGCCATTATGTATATATGTTTCTTATACTGGTTAATAATAAAGCACTGTTGGCCAATAGGAAAGGAAGATAGGAGGGACTAGGAGACAAGGAGGAAATAGGAAGTAGTAAGGAGGAGCCAAGATGGAGAGTCTGAAGAAAGCAGTATGCTGATGGCTCCCCGGTAAGAGAAATACGTAGATCAGCAGAAATGGGTTAATAATTAAGGCAGAGCTAGCCGATAAGAAACAAGTAACAGGGCCAACAGAATTATATCTAATACAGACTCTCTGTGTATTATTTGGGGCTGGCGCAGCAAAGACCGGGCGGCGGCGGAGGAAAAACCATACTCGTTACAGATGGCGCCCACGTGGCTAGTAAGAACTTCCACTTAAAATTTAACAAAAGGTTAAAAATGGGTTGTAGAAACAAAAGAACAGAGATAAGCAAGGTTTCTTGGTAACAGCATTTTTCTCGGTTGGACTCTGTTTTGCGAGAGACAAGCAGATATTTGCGCGGCTCCTTAAAGGGAGGATTCCTGACTCAGCATCAGCGGCAAAAAACCGCATGGCTTTAAAAAAAAAAAAACAATGCTAACAATTTATTGGTGTGTATGAGAGATGGCAGTGGCAATGGCAGTGACCACATCTCCAAGCCGGCAGCATGCTTTCTGGGTGGCAGCGCAGACCAAGGCGGTAAGCACAGCTTTCCGTGCTGGCGGTAAAAGTACCCACCACCATCTTTGGTAAACCGCGGTTGACACAGCTATGACTTTCATTTTAGCAATGTTGTTGTTTACCAGATAAAAGACTTGTGGCCAGATGAAGATAAAGATTTACAGTAAAGATAGATTCATATTAAGAAGAACCTCTAAAGGTTTACAGTGTGTTTTAAAATATACGTAGACATAAAATGGTTTTAAATAGACAAAGAAAAACTGGGTGTTGTAGCACACGCCTTTAATCCCAGCACTATGGAGACAGAGGCAAGCAGATCTCTGTGATTTGCAAAGTAAACCTGGTATACAGAGTAAATTCCAGGACAGATAAGAGTTACACAGTGAAACCCTATGTCAAAAAATAAAAAAATAAAAGTAAAATAAACAGAGTAATAAAGACACGTAAAGATGAAAAGCTCAGAGAAAATCTGGTTACTGTATGCTATTGTGTTGTCTCTACATTGTTTGACTGCTGAGAAAATAACAACTGATAAAGGAAATACTGCTGGATTAATTCAATTTATATATTTTAAAAATGCTTTGACTCCAACATTTAAGTTCAAGGACAAGTTACTGGGGAAAAGGATTTCTATTTTTGTTTCCACAGAAAATGAAAAGCTGTGGATTCCTTGCAGACTAATGTGGTTTGAGCAAGCCAGACCCCCTGAAACAGAGTTCCTAATGATCCAACATTCAAAACAGCTTGAACAAGGCAGACTTGCAGACTATAGCCAGGATTTCTGCATCTTCTTAGGATCCCCATGACAGCGTCCCCTATCAACAGGAAGTAGTTTGGAAAGAACGATGCCCAAATTCCCAAACATTGTTTAT